GGTCGGACAGGCCCTGAACCCGCTCGCTGCCGGAGCTCTCCGCAGTTCACCGTCTCTCTCATCCTCGCTGCAGTCCTGGGGGCTGAGGGACAGTGTCTGCCTCTTCAGAGAGCTGCTTCTCCGAGAAGAGAAACACCCAACGTTCCAGGAATTGGCAGTGGGGTTTCTGGGGTTGTGTGGTGCTCCCGGGCTGTGGTGCCATCCTGCCTGCTCCGAGAGTTGCCAGGGTTTGGAGCAGAGAAGGGGCAGCCGGAGGGCTAGGGCGCGTAAGGAGCAAGAGGGATCCAGGGTTCTTTAAGTGGTAACCATTTTGGAGAGGTGAGATATGGATGTGCTTTATAATGCAAAAAGGAGGCTGGGGGGAGAGCATAACCATGACAAGGGCCTCTTGACAGCAGCAAGAGGCTCCCAACAACCCCCAGCAGTGAGAAACGGTAAGGTAAGGAGAGGATCACAACTCCCTGTCCTTTTTTCATTGTTGCCAGCCCTGTCTGACTCCACACAAACTGAATACCTGAAACGCTCGGGGGAACAGGATGTGCTCTTTCTGTTGGTGCACCAAGTCCTGCCTGTTAGAGGCAGTGGGAGGAGAGCATTGCAAAACAAACTTGCAGCGTTTCTTTGGAAGCACCTGGGAGACTTGTCTCAAAAAGGGGCGGTTTTGCTTTAGAAGTGTGAGGAACCTCCCCAAACAGAGCATGTTTTCTCCTAGTATGGCTCCAGAAATGAGTACTTTATTCCACAGGAGACTTCAATACCACTTACAGGCAATAAAAGCTTTATTTGGCATGAATATATGTCCTCTTGTAATGTTTGCTTCTTTTCTAACAGTGCAACACCAGCCTTTAATCTGCTGTAATCTCCAGAAGCCTGCTGCGCTTTTGGAGGCAGGCGTCAATGATCACTACCTTACTGGAGGCATTCCTTTGTTTTATTTTAATGAGTTGTTATCGTGCTGTGCAAACAGCTGTGCAAACAGCTTTGTTTCACTATTGCTGGTCAGATGTTGACCCAAGATTGCAAAATGCTGTTCCTTGCAATATTTGCACTCAGCTTTAGTGTCTATTAAATACACTGAGGCAGAGTGAGCCTCCACTTCATATGCTTGTGTATAGGTTTTTCAAAGTAGAATAAAGTGGAGCACGTTTTCACTTTGAGCAATTCCTTGAAACTCCTTCAGTGCCTTGGCCAGCCAACATAACGCTGGCTCCTGCCTCCAAAAGCTTCAACTTTGTCTTTATTTTCTAGGAGGCCCAAAAAGAATAATGAAATTTCTCTGCCTTGCATACCCCTTTAGGTATATGCCCTGTTAGTCACAGTGACTGGGCCACTTTTATTTTTCTAGAGATGATACTCCTCACGTCCCCAATGAGAAGCTTGGAGAAGAAAAAGTTCTGCACATAATAGAAAATCTGACTTCTCTGATAAAAGAGACATTTCCAGGTAGGAGTTGAGGGGATGAGACGGGGAGAGGGACACAGTCTCATGGGAAGAGCTTACCAATGTGGAGAAATTACAGAATTGGGAAGGGGAAAGGCACAGAAGGGCTGTGGTCGTTGGGACTTGTTTGTCCTCTTCCTGGTTGCTGTATGGCATTAGGTGTGTCTGAATTGAGGCGTCTGATGCGCACTCGTTGTTTCAGGTTAACTCACTCAGAAGAGAGGAGAAGAAACGTTTCTGTAATTAGTCATGAAAACAGCAAAGGCTGCAAAATTTCCTCACACTTAATCCATGTCAGCACTGGGGGAGAGTGTTATTGATGGTGAAAGCTCACTGATTCATCTGTAAAGCTGTGGCTCTGGGATGGCTTGTCCCAAGGAAGGATCGTCCGTGCAGTGTTGTACCCCCAGTCCATGCAACGACATGGCTGGGGTGTGGATGATTCGCGTTTGCAAAACTCTCAAGCCACACTGTTCTTTCCAAGTCTGCAAGTGTCTGTTATGATTTGAGAAACTGACAATGATTTCTTGTCGTTTAGACAATTATTCTATCGCCTGATGACCCCTCTCCACCTGGGAAAGGGAATTGGGGAAAAACAAGGAAACATGAGGGTTGAAATATAAATAGGTTTAATAAGATAAGACTAAATAATTAACATTAATAACACTAAAGAACCAATATTGATCCCAATACCAATATAAAATATACAAGGATTATGTCGTTGTAGAGACGGACACGACACTCAATATCCAGTTACAGCAATCGTCCTTCTATTTTACAAGCAGTGCTCTTTTATATCCTCTTAGCTGGTTGCTTATCTGTGCATATATTCTAACATTCTACTTTTGCCCAATCCACTCTCACATCACACACCATTCAGCCAATACAATTGTTGATCACGCACTGTTCATGCTCTGGGAAAAGCCAGGATGTTTGCCACCCCTTATCTTGTTTGCTCGGATCTTCTCAGGATTCTTCTGTCTCCTCGAGGGTACACGGGTATCTGTTCAGGGTCAGTGTTAAACTTGTATTTTGATCCCTCGGACCAGCCGAGGTCTCCCACAGGATTGTACTCAGCGAGATTTATCCATAGGAAGCTGTGCACCCCCAGCAGTCGACAGCAAATGTTGGACACTGTGAGTGCTATGGCTTTGGGAGGAAGGGAAGGGCTCAAGGCTCTAGCACCGGGGCAAGAAGTTCTCAGGATCGCAGCCATCAAGGGATAGAGAGAACTTTGCATCAAACTTTCTCATTTATATTGAGTGTGATGTTCATGGTATGAAATAATCCTGTTGGCCAGCTTGGGTTAAGTGCCCGAGTCTCGCTCCTCTTCATCCCTGCACCTGGTGAGCTTGAAAACACTGAGACCTTGAAACCCACATACCATAGCTGGCTATAAAGTAAATATTTTCACAAATTCAGACACTAGAGTCTTCTAAAAGTGCAATTTTCCCAAGCATTAGAAGATAAATTAGTCCTGTGTCGTTCAAACCAGGACAGTGCCTCAGGGAGCTTTGGTGCTGAGGAACTCTGACACAAACATGGATTCCTCTTTGCCTGCTTTTCTCTGTCTCTAGATACTAAAGTCTACGCAGCGATGGGCAATCATGACTTCCACCCCAAGAATCAGTTTCCAGGGAAGGAGCACAGGATCTACAACCAAACAGCTGAACTGTGGCGTCCCTGGCTGAATGATGCTTCCGTTCCCCTTTTCAGAGCAGGTATGGCACCACTGGCTCATGTTGGCAGCACTCCGGGGAGATGGGGTGATTAGAAGAATACTACAAGTAGTTTTCCCTGTTTCTATGCTCAGAGCAACAGTATTTGTAGAGTATTTGCAGGGAAAGGGTCCAATTTAATACTGATTTATGGCGCTGAGTTCTCCTGCATGCGAGAAAAGAAGTTTCTTTATGCTTTAGTCTCTCCTGCTTTCCTCGAGTTACTGTAAAGTCTCCCTTCAGGGAATGCAGAGCGGTGAGCTCAGTGGAAGAAAAAAGATCTTTTAAGAAAGCTGCTGGCGCAGGCCAGTGCTGTGGCTCTCTAGGGCTGCCCAGCTCCTGGTGCTGCATGCTGTCCCCATGCAGGGTTTCCCTTCACCCGGAGAGGCATAAGCGCGACAGGAGGTACAGAGGGGGAAGCATCACTCCAAATCCCCACCCTGGAGTGGTTAGAGCGCTCCTGGCACCTTGTCCAGACAGTGACTCTGCCATGGCTATTGCCAAGGAGAGCTGAGAGGGATGGAAACAAAGGAATCTCGGGTCACAGCAACCAGCGTGACCAGACCTCCAGCTCTTTCCTGGCTGTTTGCATTTTTCAGGAGCTTTCTACAGTGAGAAGCTGCCCGGCCCAAGGACAAGGGGGCGAATGGTCGTCCTCAATACCAATCTGTACTATGACCAGAATGACGAGACAGCTGGTGAGGAAGATCCTGGAGGGCAGTTCCAGTGGCTGGAAGACACACTGACCAATGCCTCTAGAGCAGATGAAGTGGTATTGAAAGAAATTAATGAACAAACTTTGTAGAGGGCTTCTCCCAGCCTGGAAGCACTTCTGGCTCCTGCTCTCCACTCTGTGGGGAGACAAAGTTCTGTGGGAAGCGTGGGCTTTGCATTCATTGCAACCTTTTGCCTTTGTAGGTCTACATCATAGGGCATGTTCCTCCCGGCTTCTTTGAGAAGAAACGAGGCAAGCCCTGGTTCCGGAGTGGCTTTAATGAACGATACATGAAAATTGTGCAGAAGCACCACAGAGTGATTGCTGCTCAGTTTTTTGGGCATCATCACACGGACAGCTTTCGGATGTTTTACAGTGATACAGGTACTGGTTCTGGCCACCTGAGCATTTGCATGATAGCTCTGCCAACCCCCAGAAAATCAGTGTTGATGAGAGTTTTCAGTGACTGTTAGCTGAATGCAGCTGAGAAGCCAGAAAAGGCTTGTGAAATGTCAACAAGAGACAACAGTGGTTCTGATCTCCACCCCCAGCCTGTAGTTCCAGCCCTCCTTCTTCTTTGCCCTCAAATTTTGTCATTTCCCCTCAATGCCTTGCAAATTCTTGCCTGCTTGCTGTTGATGGGTTTTGGACATCAGCTTAGACATAAGGGAGCAGTAATCAATGTTTGCGTTGGGGTTATGGGTAGTGCTCTGGGTCTCCTTTGCATCGTTCTCTTGCACGCCCTCACTGCAAGAGTCTTCAACAGCAATGGAAAGCCCGTTCTCAGCTGCAGCAGTCCTGTGTTCAATCCCCAATGCCGTTCAATGTGCTGATTTATGTGTACCCTGTTGTGACAAAGCTGCTATTTGCAGTGTGATCGGTTCCTGGGGTGCTCACTGCAGTATTGACAGGGAGGGTGCTTACTGCAGTATTGACAGGGTGTAATACAAGCCAGGGTCTCCCATTCATGGTTTATTTTGCCTTTCTGTTAAGGTTCTCCAGTCAATGTCATGTTCTTGGCCCCTGGAGTGACTCCCTGGAAAACAACATTACCTGGAGTGAACAATGGAGCCAACAACCCTGGGATCCGGGTGATCAACTATGATACAGACACCCTTCAAGTGTTGGTAGGGGATCCCTGTGTGCTGCACACTGCAGTTCTGGAAGAGTACTTTAATTCCTCCATGTG